TTCGCAATTCGCTCATAAAGGAGGGCTCCCGCCGGATACTTCCTCCGTATTCAGGCCTCAGGGGCCCAAAAGTACGAAAGTTATTGGTTCCCGATAACCCGCTCGCCATGACCCGTTCGGATTACAAACATGAGTTGCGGGCCCCATAGGGAGGGTGCTCTCGCCTGAGATTTTTCTTGGTTCACTCACAGACGAGGCTTCCGTCTGAGATGAGTGAGTGAGTCAGTGAATGGGTGACTGAATGAGCGAAGATGGTTATGATAATGATAATGGTGATGATGGCTGTGGTGATGATGATGATGATGCTGACATTGTGAATGAGTGAATGGGTGGGTAAGTGCGTGAATGAGTGGGTGAGTGCGTGAGCGAGTACTGATGATGAATGCGTGAGTGAGTGGGTGAATAAATGGGTGAGTGACTGAGTGTGGTTGATGATGTGTGTGAATGATTGAGCGAATGCCTGTGCAATTAGAGAAGAGGAGAGGGTGTTCTTTCATGCGCCAGGGGTGTGCTGAGAAAATGAGGATGATGACAATGATGATGATGATGATGATGATGATGATGGTGATGATGAGGGTGATGATGATGCTGAGAGAATAAGTGAGTGAGTGGGCGGGTAGGTGGGTGAGTTCCTGCGCGGGGTGTCCAGAGAGAATAAGAACCCCAATTTTGATGTGTGGAAATGTGTTGTTTCGCCATTTTTGTTTTGTTGTTGATGTTGTTATTTTTCTGGAGGGGGGGGGGGGGGCGGGGGCGACCTCGACCTCGAAGAGGAGCAATTCTTCTCCCCCCCCAACAAACAAAAAAGGCGAAGCCGCACATTTCTTTGTGAAGGGGGCACAAAATTAGCCTGGCGAAAGACCCAACAATATGCAGTTGTGAGCACCGTCGTTGCACGCACCGCATTCGGAGGAGCTCCATATAGGGCCACGAAACGTGTGAGAGGTCTGCCATAATTTGTCCGGTGGGCGCATGCGAAAGCAGCCATTTGAGCCGTCGGTGGAGTTCCATATGGGGCCACGAAACGCGTGAGAGGTTTGCCGGCATAGTTGCGGTGGGCGCATGCGAACTGGGCCACCCTATGGGGCCGCGAAACGTGTGAGGGGTGTGCCGGAATGTGCGTGGGTGACGCATGCGGGCGGTGGCACCGGGGCCGTCGGTGAAGCTCCTTATGGGGCCACGAAGCGTGTGAAGGGTGTGGCGAAATTGGTGTGGGTGACGCATGCGGGCGGTGGCACTGGGGCCTTCGGTGGAGCTCTCTATGGGGCCACGAAACGTGTGAGTGGTGTGCCGCCGGTGTGCTGGAATGTGCGTGGGTGACGCATGCGGGCAGTGACACCGGAGCCTTCGGTGTAGCCCCCTTATGGGGCCACGAAACGTGTGAAGGGTGTGCCGAAATGCGTGTGGGTGACGCATGCGGGCGGTGGCACTGGGGCCTTCGGTGGAGCTCCCTATGGGGCCACGAAACGTGTGAGGGGTGTGCCGAAAATGATGTGGGTGACGCATGCGGGAGGTGGCAGTGTGGCCTTCGGTGGAGCTCCTACGTGTGAGGGGTGTGCCGACATGGGTGTGGGTGACGAATGCGGGCGGTGGCACTGGGGCCTTCGGTGGAGCTCTCTATGGGGCCACGAAACGCGTGAGGAGTGTGCCGAAATGGGCGTGGGTGACGCATGCGGGCGGTGGCACTGCTGCCTTCGGTGGAGCTCCCTATGGGGCCACGAAACGTGTGAGGGCTCTGGCGACATGGGTGTGGGTGACGCATGCGGGCGGTGGCACTGGGGCTTCCTTTGGAGCTCCCTATGGGGCCACGAAACGTGTGAGGGGTGTGCCGAAATTCGTGTGGGTGACCCATGCGGGCGGTGGCACTGGGGCCTTCCGTGGAGCTCCCTAAGGGGCCACGAAACGCTGTACTGGGTGGGTGAAACGCAGGGGAAAAGGAGGAGGGGGAGGAGGAGTGAGTGAGTGAGGCGGGGCGTTGTCTCTTCAAAACGAGGACCTAAAGCCACAGGATGGTTGAGAATTGTCTTGGCGAAGAACCCAACCATATGCAGTTGTCAGTACCGTCGTTGCGGGTATCGCCTTCGGGGGATCTCCAACACGGGGCCATGAAGCATGCGAAGGGTGTGCCGATGTGGGGCGGGGCCGCCATGTAGGCGCTGCCACTGGTGCTTTAGGCTGACCACGCTACTGGGAAGTGTGAGGGGTGCGCCGCAGTGGGGCGGGGCCGCCGCTGGGGCCTTCGGTTGAGCTCCCTATGGGGTAACGAAACAGTGTAATGGATATGGAAACGCATGCAAGTACAGCCACCGAGGCCTTCGGCGCAGCTCCCCATGAGGCCACGAAGCGCTGTGCTGGGCGAGGGGAACGCATGCGAACACCGCCACTGGGGCCTTCGTTGGAGCTCCTATGGTGCCACGAAACGCTGCACTGGGCTGGAGTGGCGCACGCGAGTGCATCCAATGGGCCCTCCCGTTGAGCTCCCTATGGGGCCACGAAGCGCTGTACTGGGTGGGGCATGACGCATGCGGGCGGTGCCGCTGGGGCCTTCGGTGGAGCTTCCTATAGCGCCACGAGGTGCTGTACTGGGTGGGGGTGACGCATGCGGGTGGTGTCACCGTGGCCTTCAGTGGAGCCCCCTATAGGGCCCCACGAAGCGCTGCTGTACTGGGCGTGGGTGACGCATGCAGGCGGTGCCACTGGGGCCGTCGGTGGAGCTCCCTATGGGGCCACGAAGCGCTGCACTGGGCGGGGGGTGACGCATGCGGGCGGTGCCACTGCGGCGTGCGATGGAGCTCCCTATGGGGCCACGAAGCGCTGTATTGGGAGGGGGACGACGCATGCGGGCGGTGCCACTGGGGCCTCCGGTGGAGCTACCTACGGGGCCACGAAACGCTGTCCTAAATCAGTGTGACGCGCGATACCGCTGGCGCGTTCGGTGGAGCTCCTTATGGGGCCACGAAGCGTGTACTGGGTGGGGGTGACGCATGCGGTCGGTGTCACTGGGGCCTTCGGTGGAGCTCCCACTGGGGCCACGAAGCGTTGTATTGGGAGGGGGGTGACGCGGTGACGCATGCGGGCGGTGCCACTGTGGCTGTCGGTGGAGCTCTTTATGGGGCCACGAAGCGCTGTACTGGGAGGGGGTGACGCATGCGGGCTGTGCCACTGGAGCTCCCTATTGGGCCACGAAGTGCTGTACTGGGTGTGGGTGACGCATGCGGGCGGTGTCAATGGGGCCTTCGGTGGAGCTCCCTATGGGGCCACGAAACGCTATACTGGGTGGGGGTTACGCATACGGGCGGTGCCACTGCGGCCATCAGTGGAGTTCCCCATGTGGCCACGAAACGCTGCACTGGGTGGGGGATGACGCGTGCGGGCGGTGGCACTGGGGCCTTCGGTGGGGCTACCTACGGGGCCACGAAGCGTTGTACAGGGTGTGGGTGACGCATGCGGGCGGTGCCAGTGGGGCCTTCGGTGGGGCTCCCTATGGGGCCACGGAACGCTGTACTGGGTAGGGGATGACGCATGCGGGCGGTGCCGCTGGGGCCTTCGGTGGAGCTCCCTATGGGGTCACGAAACGCTGGACTGAGTGGGGGTGACGCATGCGGGCGGTGCCCGTGGGGCCTTCGGTGGAGTCCCCCATGTGGCCATGCAGCGCTGTACTGGTGGGGGGATGACGAATGCGGGCGGTGCCACCTCCATTTAGGGCCACGAAGCGTGTGAGGGGTGTGCTGAAATGGGTATGGGTGACGCATGCGGGCGGTCCCACTGAGGGCTTCGGTGGAGCTCCTTGTGGGGCCACGAAACGCGGTATTGGGTGGGTGAAACGCAGGGAGGAGGGAAGAAGCGGGGGAGGAAGGAAGGAGGAGACGCGGGGCGCTGTCTCTTCAAAACGAGGACCCAACACCACAGGACGGCTGGGAAAAATTGAGCAAATATAGAGGAAGAGAGGGGGGAGGAGGAAGAGCAAGGAAAAGGAAGGAGAGCCAAGGGTGCGAGAATTGAGGGCTGCGGGCAGGCAGGTGCAGTGGCCCTTTGCTGCCGTTTGCAGGAGGAAGAGTGCGAGGAGGCAGAAAGAGGAAGGACTAGAAAGGAGAGGCGCGGGTGTGTGGGCGGAGCGCTGCTGGCACGTAGGTGCAGTATTTTGGTTTCTGTCGTTAGCGCGCGAGGCCGTCACGAGAAGGCCGAGGGGTCTGTGCTGGGAGAGCGCTCTGGGGAGGCCTCCTCCCAGATTGTCTCTACGTCGGACGAGCTGTGCGCACCCCTAGAGCTAGAGACCACCTCACGAATGCCATCTGCACTCCCGCGGCTGTTGCACGACGTGCTGGCCACTGGTGCAGACTGTGTGCGGGCGCGCACTGAAAAGTCCACTGACCGTTGCGCGTGCTGCAGCTCTTGCCTCAGTGGTTTTTTTCAGGCCGCCGGGTACGGTGGGGGCGTTGGTTAAGGAATGCGCCCAGGATGCTACAGACCCTGAAGCATTCCTTGTCTGATGAGGGCGGCGGTGGTATCCGTGGCCAAGCCTCGACTGGCTTTCTACTGGCTTCCAGACCCTGGATTCCTTATCCAATGCTTCCTTACCCTATGCCCCTACCGTAGGGGGGTGCAGGCCTTCGTACGTGGTTACGTGGAGGGGAATCGCGAGCAGAGGGCCGCGGCGGCGCGCGGGGACGAGGGGCCCAGGTAGACGAGCCCTAGGCGGTGGGCTTGTTCCTGGGGGCCCCGCCCGCGCCTCTCTGCATGACATTCGAATCACGGGTGGGTCCGCTCACCCTCGAAGAGTTGTTAACAAAAAATGCCCCCACCGTAGATACATGGGGCATTTTGCGTCTAAGACGTTGCTCCCTGGCCTCCTCCACGGCACCCCCGTTGATCACTTCCGCCCGAGCGCCGGCCTCCCCGATCCGTGTCACGGCGTACAGATCACGGCGGCGCTTCAGCTCGGCGCTCCGCTCCTCCAGGGCTGCTTCCAGGGGTCTTCTCGCGAGGTGGTCGCCCCTTGGGCGCCATGACAGGCCAAGCTGGAGTGTGGCTATCCAGGGCGTCTCCCCTTGGGGCGCTGGAGTGTGAGTGTGAGTGAGTATGAGTGTGAGTGAGTCTGAGTGCGAGTGAGTCTGCGTGCGTATGACTATGAGAGCGAGTGGGTCTGGGTGTGAGTGAGTCTGGGCATGAGCGAGTCTGAGTACTAGTGACCCTGAGTGCGAGTGAGTCTGAGTCTGAGTGAGTCTGGGTCTGATGAGTAAGTCTGGGTATGAGCGACTCTAATAATTGAGGACGAGGAAGGAAGGAGGAGGAGGAGCGGGTGAATCGGAAGCGCCTGAGTATTGGCAAGAACCCCATCTTCGGAGGCGGGGAGGAAAGACACATGTAAAGAGACAGGGGAAGAGTTCGAGGAGAAGGCGGGGGGAGGGGAAGGAGGAGCAAGAGCAGGAGCTGCAGCAGGAGCGCCACCGCAGGACTGCTTCTTGGACCTTCCGTCCCTGGCGCCGCGCTGGGGGGGGGGGCGGGCCGGGGCCTTCTCCGGGAGCGCGCCTCCGCACCGTCGAGCGCGAGCCCGCCGACCGCGCGGTCGCGCGATCTCGTTCGGCCTCCCAGGGGTCTCCGCGGGCCCCGGGGCCGTCAGGAAACCACTCGCGGCGAGAAGCTTGTCCTGGAGAGCGCCCCCGGTAGCCAGGACCCGTTTCTTGTACGCCAAGACAACGACGACGATGGTTATAACTATGATGACGACTGCAACGAAGGCGAGGAGGAGGAGGAGGAGGAGGAGGAGGAGAAGGAGGAGCAGGAGGAACAGGAGGAGGAGGAGGAGGAGGAAAAGAAGGAGGAGGAGGAGGAGCATAAGGAGAAGAGGGAGAAAGGTAAGGAGGAAGTGGAGGAGGAGGAGGAGCAGGAGCAGGAGGAGGATGAGGAGGAGGAGTGGAGGAGGAGTGGAGGAGGACGAGGAGGGAGGAGGAGGAAGAGGAGGAGGAGGAGGAGGAGAATATGAAGGAGGGAGGAGGGGGATGAGGAGGAGGAAGTGAAGGACGAGGACGAGGAGGACGAGGACGAGGAGGACGAGGGAGGAGGAGGAGGAGGAGGAGGACGAGGAGGAGGAGGAGCAGGTGGAGAAGGAGGAGGAGGAGGAGGAGAAAAAGCAGACGGAGGAGGACGAGGAGGAGGATGCTGATGATGATGCTGCTGATGATGATGACGATGATGATGCTGCTGCTGATGATGATGGTGATGGTGATGATGATGATGATGATGATGATGATGATGATGATGATGATGATGATGATGATGATGATGATGATGATGATGATGTTGATGATGGTGATGATGATGATGATGGTGATGATGATGATGATGATGAGGAAGATGAAGATGAAGATGATGATGATGATGATGATGATGATGATGAGATGATGATGATGAGATGATGATGATGATGATGATGATGATGATGATGATGATGATGATGATGATGAGGTGGTGGTGGTGGTGATGATGATGATGGTGATGATGATGGTGATGATGATGATGGTGATGGTGATGGTGATGGTGATGGTGATGGTGACTGTGATGGTGATAACGATGATGATTATGATGATGATGATGGTGGTGGTGGTGATGATGATGCTGGAGGATGATGATGATGATGATGATGGTGATGATGATGATGATGATGATGATGATGATGATGAGATGATGATGATGATGATGATGATGATGATGATGATGAGGGTGAGGGTGAGGATGAGGATGAGGATGAGGATGAGGATGAGGATGAGGATGAGGATGAGGGGAGGGGAAGGAAGAAGAGGAGGAGGAGGAGGAGGAGTTGGAGGAGGGGGGGAGGAGGAGGGGGAGGAGCAACCCAGGGTGGCCTCGCCCGAGGTGCTGCAGCCGATCCTGGCGATGCTGCTTCAGCTCTCGGCGCCCCCACTGCGCCCCCCCCCCATTTGGAGGAGGAGGAGGAGGAGGAGGAGGAGGAAGCCCTGAAGTCCATGAGCTCATACAGTTTGCGGCGTGTGACGCGAAGCTGTCGGGAAGGCTTATGGTGCCGACCCTTTTGTTTCGGGCAGGTTTCTGGTGCCTGAGCCCTATACGGTTGGAAAGGCGCATGGTGCCCTTCCGTGCCCACCCCGTCCCGCACACCGGGACTTCGCACCCGCCCCTATGGCGGGAGGCTTGGCGTGCGGGCCGCCCCCCCTGACGCCGCACGTACCACGTCAGGGGTGGTGGGGGTTCTTTGTGATAAACAAAAAACTGATCACCTTCCCCCACTTCCCCTCCCACGTCGTGCTCCGGGCCTGTTCCTGGCAGGCGTCGGGAAAAGAGGAGGAGGAGGAGGAGACGAATGAGGAGGAGGAGGAGAAGGAGGAGGAGGGGTAATAAGAACGCTACAGGCTCGTACCTAGAGTCCGCGCAACGTAGAAAGGAGGAGGAGGAGGAGGAGGAGGAGTAAGAGGAGGGGGCTCGAGGATCAAGGTGTGGGAGCAATTGGGGCCCCTCTTGTGGGTCTCCGCAGGCCTCGGGGGACTTGGGCCCACACTGGACTTGCGGAGCGCTCCATAGATATAGATATCGCTGGAGAAGGAGCAGGCAGGAGAGGGTAGAGAGAGGCAAGCCAGGCGCGCTCGCGCCGCATCTAACATCAGATACCCACCCACGCCTTCCAAGTGTGTTGAGCCCTAAAGAAGTGTCGAGCCCCCCTTCTACGCGCCGACTGGGACATCCTACACTGGGAGCGCGTACCATGAAATGCCCTACGCTTTGCCAGGGCACGCCAGATTTGTCTGCGTTCGGGTTGAAAGCTTGCGGTGGTCACGAAGAAATCGCAGCTGGCAGGGTACCCTGAGGTTCTTCGGTACTGGGGCGCTTTGGGGCGCGCGCCCGAGCGTGCAAAAAATCAACAGGCATGAAGGGTACTCTGCGTTTCTTCGCCCACCCCATCCGAATGTGCCCCCCACACCCACCCCCCGCGCGCGATGCGCGTCTTCGGCGCTCCCGAGCGTTCAAGAAACCAACGGACCTGGAGGTTGCCCTGGGTTTGTTCGCCCACACCGTTCCACCTTGGAACGTCGCCGCAAGCCAGCACTAGGCTCCTGGCCCCGACGATCCCTGGCCTCTGTGCCCCCTCGACTCGTTGGCGCTGGTTTCTGCCGTTCTGCACTTGCACATAGCCTCCCCAGAGCCCAGCCGAGCATCCCAGGCCTATGTGCCACCTTGGCTCGTACTGGCCTTGGCTGTGGAGGACCTTGAATCCCAAGTGGAAGATGCAGGATTTGGGCCATCGTTTGCTGTGCAATCGGGAAGGAGGCCTTTTGTACATTGCAGGAGGAGGAGGAGGAGGAGGAGGAAGAGGGGGAAGAAGCGGAGGAAAAGAAGGGTACGGATGAGCAGCAGTAGGAGGAGGAGGACAAGGAAGCCAGGGGACGTGGAGGAGGAGCAGGATGAGTAGGATTGCAGGAGGAAGAGGAGCATCAGGAGAAGGCGGAGGAGTGGAAAGGATGGGGGCAGCAGCGACGGGAAATGAATCAGATCCAGAAATGCGCCCTGCAGCGAGGCGAGAGCGCCTTCTCAGCGACGGGAGCAGAGCACCGATCCTGAAACGTGGCCCGTCCTGAAAGGCGGAGGCTTTCCTATCGACAAAACATACGTCATGCCACTTGCTGTAAAGAACCCCAAACATGTGGTAAGCAACATCCGGGAGGGGAGACACTGTTGCACACTAGCAGGGCGGAGGAGGAGGAGGAGAAGGAGGAGGAGGAGGAGGAGAAGGAAGAGGAGGAGGAGGGGGAGGAAGATGGAGACGAGGAGGAGGAGGCGGAGGAGGGAGATGGAGAGGAGGAGGAGGGAGAGGGCAGGAGGAGGAGGAGGAGGAGCGGTGGGCCAGCGCAGAGGAGAAGAAGAGGAAAGAGAGGAGAGGTGCTCGGCTGGGCGCGCGCGCGCGCGGCCCCGCCTGACATCCGATCCCTCTCGCCCGCTTTTCGTGGCGTGGCCTCCGAGCCCGTCCGCCGAGGTCGGGTATTTCCGAGTAGTCTTGGTCTCGCTCGGACGTGTGCACTTTTTCCCGGCGAGGGTTATTAAGCAGCATCCTGGATCATCCTGCGAAAAAAGCCACGCACGAAACCGAAAAAAGCACAGGGAATGGGCGTCCGAGCGATGGCCAGTAGTTGTCCCATCCGAAGAATGGCACCCACAGGACTTGGCCCGTCGTTTGCTGTACATTCGGCGACGGCGTGTTCTGTTTACTCGCCGGACAGGAGGACGAGGAGCAGGAGACGGAGGGTTTGGGGATCGGAGGAAAGGAGCAGGAGCAGAAGGAGTACGATGAGCAGAGGGAGGCGGAGGAGGGGAAAAGAGGGGACGGCAACAACGAAAAGGGAACCGGATCCAGAAATGCGGCCCACGTTGGGGCGAGAGCGCCGTTCGGAACGACGGGAGGAAGCACCGATCCTGACATGCCAACGTGGCAGCGGTAGCACCGTAGCCAAGAAGCGTAGGCAGTCCGATTGAAAATCACGGACGACGAGATGCCGAACTTTCTGCGCGTGAGAGCAATACGCGGGATGTGAAGAGCTTGGCTGGACATTGTCGGTGGAGCAAGTGTAGGCGAAAGGAGAAGAGAGAGAGGAGAAAAGGCACGGAAAGATGCGAAAGAGCCATCGCGATGCGATATGCCGTGCCACCAAGCCGCCCCTCGAGTTTCCTGCCGTGGGCGACGCAGCAGGAGTCCGTACACTGAGCTCGCCCCGCCTTCCCACATTGGGTTCGCAAGGCTGCTGGCGAGAACGGCGGAGAGTGCGCTCTCCATGGCATGGCGCTGGGGGCGCGACGCGAAGAAGGTTCCCAACTATACCAGGACGTGAAGTACGCCCGTTGCAGGGAGGAGGGCTCTGATGGGCTCGTAGCCACCGTACCTGCTAGTACCGGCAGTCTGGGACGGACGTTGCCGCTGAAGCCAGACAAGGAATGAAAGCAAAAGCCCCAAATACATGCGCAGTGGAGGCGGAAACCA